GATATTGTGTTGATGGAAATATTGAGATGTGCCAAGTCTGAATAGAATCGGATGTTAATTATGAGCTTTATTAATATTTAAAATTTTGACCCTGGGGGAGGTACTTGATTGAGTGGACCGATATATCCCATCTTCACAGCAGGTCTTGTGTTAATAGAAATAATGGGATATGTGAAATATGAAGAGAAACGTATACTTATTTCGGATTGTATACTCGTTTTGGTTATTCAAAACTTTGACCCTTTGTGGGGGAAGTGCCAGAAGGAATGATCCGATTTCTGACATCTTGATAATAGTTCTTGTGTTGATAGAAATATTTAGATGCCTCAAGTCTGAATGGAATGGGATGTCAATTTCATGTATTAAGAGCTTCACGGATATGGAGGTACGAGAAGGGGTCAACCGATATATCCAATCTTAACACCAGACCTCGGGTTAATAAATTTTGTGATGTGTGTAATTTGAAGACAATCCGGCTGTTACATCACTTTTTATAAGAATTATAGTAACTCAAAATTTTGACCTTTTGTGGGGGGAAGTGCTTGATAGAATGGAACGATATTATCCATTTTCGCACCTGACCTAGCAGTGATGCAAATATAAGGATTTACAAAGTAGGAGCAAAATCAGATTATTGTTTCTCTTACTATGCAGGTAATATTTTTTTTTCAAAAATTACGACCTTTTTGGGGAGGTACCAGAAGGAGTGGACTGATATATTCCCTCTTAACACCAGACCTTGGATTAATATAAATATTGGGATGTGTGGAATTTGAAGACAATCGGACTCTTACATCACATTTTATAAGAGTTGTAATTTTTGAATATTTTGACCGTTTGTGGGGGAGATACTTGATGGAGTGGACCGATATTGTTCATTTTCGTACCTAACCTAGGATTGATGCAAATATTAGGATATGCAAAGTTGGAGGAAAATCGGATTATCCTTTCTCTTTCTGTGCAGAAAATTATTTTCTTTGAAAATATTCACATTTTGTGGGGGAGGTACCCGAAGGAATAGACCGATATTGCCATCTCCGAACTCGATCTAAGTTTGACAAAAATATTACGATGTACCATGTTTGGACCAAATCGGATACTCCCTTCGAGAGTTATCGTTCGCACCAGCCAGCCAGACGGACGGATGGACATTGCTAGATCGACATCAAATGTCCTGAAATGGATTTGGTCCAAAGAGGCGGATGATCCACAGGAAGAATCAAAGTTTTTTTAATTACAGCCAAAAAACATCGGAAGATTACTTTTGCGCCACCTTGTATATTCGGAAATTGGAAGTCGCCATCTTGTATATTCGGAAATCCGTCTGTATGTCAGTCTGTCTGTTGTAATCACGCTATCTTTCGAACGAACGAATTTGCCAGTGGGCAGCTTAAGTTCGTAAATGGGCCATGTCAGTTGACGTTTTCGTATAGCCCCCATATAACAGTACTTTCCGATATTCGGTATTTTGATTATTTTAGCGACATTATTTACCGGAATTGTTTCAAATTTTATTATTTGAAGTTCGTATTGAATACTACATCCTATGACAGAAAATTGTCTGTGCAGGCCCACGTCTTCTTATAGCCACCATATAACGGTACCTCCCGATATTCGATATTTTGATAATTTTTCACCGAAATTATTTCAAAAATTTGGTATTGGAAGTTCAGAATCGGTGCTATAGCATTACTTATGTAATTATCTTGCTAGAACTCCCATATAATGGTTTTTATTGAAATCCTTTCAAATGGTGGAGGATATTAAAAGTTCGGGCCGGCTGACATTATCTGCTTTTTTTACGTGTTTTGAATTATCTTGGAAATTAGGTTTGAAATTAGACAGTGACATACGTCAGAAATGTTTTTTTTTTTTCAATTTGTCCAGCCCTGTAATGATTGCATCATGAATATGGGTACCACAAGGACATCTGAATGCGTTAAATTTACAAAATATTTAAGTGCAAATATGTACTTTTCCCGTCCGTTTTTATACCTTATATCACATAGTGGTAAGGGTATTATGTCTTTGAGCATTTGTTTGTAGCATCAAGAATGAAGCGAGATAGGCCCATAATTGCTTTAAAGGATCTTCATAGAACCACTTTCTGAGTCAATTTATGCATGTCAGTCCGTCCATGTATTCTTGTAAAGAAAATTCAAGTCGGATTTATTATCCGATTAAGATAAAATTTTACAAGCAATATTTGTTTGGCCTAAGGATGAACCTTATTAAAATTGATGAGAATCGGTTGAAATTTAGATATAGCTCCATAAATGTCTTCAACCGATTTCAAGTAAATTGTGAACCAAATTGCCAATATCCGTCCAAATGGCCTAAATTTTGTCACGCGACCGCACTCAGTCTAGAAACAAGTATATCAAATTTGGTGAGCATCGGTTCAGATATAGCTATAGCTCTCATATATATATGTTTCATCCGATTTGGTGTTTAAGTCCCTCTCATTCGTAATTGCACTCCACAAGAATGATATTTCGTACCAGATAACTTATGGAGCTCAAAAATACCTCCGTCAAATTATATCGATATCGGATCACATTAGAATATAGCTCCCATAGATCAGGTTTATTGTTGTCCAATTGGCTAATAACAGCCCAATTGAACTGAATCCTGGCAATTCCGACTGAATTCATCCTAGAAATATGTACTTCAAGTTTGGTGAAAATACTCCACAACAATGATCTTTGATAGCATAAATCAGATACAGCTCAAAAATAAGTACCTAAAATTTTGTCAAGATAAGTTCAGATTTGGATATAGCTCCCATAAATATCCGATTTTAGATGTATTTTGCACCAAATGGCTAATATCAGCCTAAATGGACTGAACTTTGGCATTTCCGATGGAATTCTTACTTACGAAAGTACTTCAAATTTTGAAGAAAATCGTTTCAGATACAGGGTGAAATAAAAAAATGCAACAAAGTCAAACGCAATACTTTTTACATTTTTTGTTAAATTTTATTGAATGAAAGCAAACGATGTCGGAAATAGCATTAAATTTAAGAAAAGGTTTAGATTTGTTCGAATTGGTCGCACACACTTCACACACACACGCGCTGCCCGAATGTTGTTCTGCGGTATTTTGGCCCTTTCCCGGCGAAGCACTTGCTTGATGTGATCGACACTTTGGTATTTTTTGATGCCAACCTTGCTTTCCAAAATACTCCAGACACAATATTCCAACGGATTGGGCGCTGGAAATGAAGCAAGGAACCTTCATTTGTAACCATTCTTGGATGGGGCGTGCTGAGTGCGTTGGTGCTGAGTCCTGTTGGAATGTCCAAGATCTGCGGCCAAAATGTTTGCGTGCCCAAGGCCTTAATACACCCTCCAGAATATTTCCGCGATAATATTCGGCATTTATTCTGATGCCACGGTTGATTAATACGAGCGGAGAGCGACGTTTGGTTGTTATGGCGACCCACACCAAAACCATGGTCGACGCTTGAGTTCTGGTGGCCAACCGAAGTTGCACATTTTCAGCTGACCTCTTTGGCAAGTAAGAGAGAATTTGGTGAGCTGTCACTGGAATAATTTTCACAACTGTCGGACGAGTGGCTAAGAAATGACAGCAGGCTGAAGTTCTGCAACCAACTTTTTTTTTCATCTCACCCTGTATATTGGCGTTAAAGTCCCTCACTCCACAACAATGATATTTGAAACCGGACATCAGATACAACACGAAAATACCGCAGCCAAATTTTATTGAGATCGGTTCTGATCTTTATATACCTTCGATAAACATCTTCATCCGATTTTACGGTTATTGTCCACCATATATGTAATATCAGCCCAAATTGGAGAGATTGTTTCATATTCAACCGAATTTTTCTATATGGTGAAACTCGGTCCGGTTTATCTATTGCTCCAATAATTATTTTATACCCTCCACCATACATAGTATGGAGGGTATATTAAGTTCGTCATTCCGTTTGTAACTCATCGAAATAATCATTTTAGAACCAACAAAGTATAAATATTCTTGATCAGCGTTAAATTCTTAGACGATTTAGCCATGTCCGTCCGTCTGCCCGTCTGTTGTAATCACGCTTCAGGCTAAACGAATTAAGATAGAAAGATAAAATTTTGCCCAGATCCCTCTTTTGTCTGCAGGCAGGTCAAGTTTGAAGATGGGCTATATCGGTCAACGATATCGTATAGCCCCCATATAACGGTACCCCCGATATCCTGTATTTTCATGATTTTAGCCACATTTTCTAATGGAATTGTATAAAAATCCACACGAGGAGTTCCTTGTGGGCACTTTACCTCCGGAAAGAGAATTGTCTATATAGGTCCACGATATCGTATATCCCCCAATATAACGGTACCCCCGATATTCGGTATTTTGATGATTTTAGCCACATTTTTAAACGGAATTGTCTTAAATTCTATACAAGGAGTTATTTGTAAGTACTTTATCCCTAGACATAGATTTGTCTATATAGGTCCACAACATCGTTTATCCCCCCATATATCGGCACCTTCCGAGATTTTAACAGAATTTTTAGTGGATTTTTTTTTTTTTTGTTTTTTGAAAATGTCCTAATTCGATCCAAATGGTGGAGGGTATTCAAAGTTCGACCCTACCGAACTTACTGATATTTTACTTGTTTAATATAATCCTTATCGAAGTCATATCATGCACTACAGAGCAATGTTATTTGGTTCTTAGTTGGTATGATCTACTCCACATAAATTACCAATATAAACTTTTTTTTTGTTATGAGAGCTCTACTAAATACGCATAGTGGTGTAGGGTATTATATAGTCGGCCCGAATTTTGACCTTTCCTAACTGGTTTGTTTTTACCTCCCCATATTACAAAGTCGAAGAAATTACCCATATTTGAAAACTACCCAGACCCTGCAGTTAGTCACGCTTCTTTCCTGCCTTCTCGTTACCCTCTGTTAACGGCGCATATCAAAGGAAGAACATTGCTTAGAAAATGCATAGAAAATATAATAGCATGATAATTTACTTTTGCTCCGTGGCTAACTGCGGTGTTGATTCCTCATAATCCTGTTAAAAATTGTCAACATTTAAAAGTCAATTGAAAATCCCACTGGCAAATAAACAAAAGTCAGGACATAAAAAATGAAAAAAAAACAACCAATAAAACAGTACCTGGAACAATAAAAATGTATATTTTTTGGGAGAAAGAAAATAGCGGAAAACAGTCACCCACCCAGGTCGTAATGCCACAGTAGAGAACAAAAACAAAAACTACAAGCAAATGTCTACAAATACAACAAAAATGCAAATTAAATGTGCATAGATTGCACCAAACGCTAAACAACCAACCGACGAAGAGGACAGAGTACCAGCTACTGCCAGGACATTTGTGTTGCCATTGTTGGTCTGTGTGGATCTTTGTTAGAATACGAATGTATCCAACTACTGTCGCCACTGTTTTATTTTCACATTATTGTCGAGCAGTGCCGCTGATTTCTTTATGCAAATTTATGCTAACTTAACCACCAGCGAGGGGACACCGGTCAATTGTTGGCCGTGGGGTAACTAAATAATTGTGGGATTTCTTCGAGCACACACACACACACAGATACACATGCACATGCAAGTGGCACAGTTTAAAGATGCAGTTTTTCGAATAACAATTAAGCCACTATATAGCGGTATATTTAAAACTTAATCAGCTTATAACAGCGAATAACTGGCGGTGACAGCTCCATAAGCAGATAATCATGTAAAACATACATATCTCAGTCTTTGCTCTGGAACTATGAAGAGATTTCAGTCGTATGAATGTGTGTGCGTGTCTGTGTTTGTGTGTGTTTATTGTTTCTCATCAAGGATACTGTCAAACCGAAATGTTTTGTAGTTTCACTTATGTCTCAGATATTTTTGTGCATATTCTGCACATGCATGTCTACAAATATGAGTGTATATGGACACTTCCAGTCAGGATGTGTATAGGAAAAGAAAAATATATATATTACAGATATATATTATTCCTTGACCACAAATAGGACGACAAAAATCCACTTACTTTCGAAATAATTACTTATTTCGTGTGACATAACACTTCTTAAAAATGTGTTAGTACTCCTAATTGCAAGGATTTTAATATTCTACGCCACACTGTGGCACAGGATGTTATTATGTCTTCTGTCTTTTGATAATATTCATGAAATAACATTCTAAGTCTATTAATGCATGTTTTGTGTTTTTTTTTAACTTGGGATTTGGATGTAGCGCCCAAACAGAATTTAATCCAATTTCATCATTATTGTGCACCAAATGCATAATATTTTTCTGAATAAAATGAGTAAATTAACAAGGTAACATCATTTCGAATAAGCACATCCCGTTCTGTGTTTTCTGTAATTTACATTGTAAACCAGTAAAGAAATGATGCCCTAGAACACTCCGCATATTTAGTAGAGCTCCCGCAACAAAAGAATTGATTTGAAGTAGATCATACCACCTATCAACATTTGTCATTAGAGCAGTTATAGTTTGCTATGATATCACTTCGAGAAGGATTATATTAAAAAAAATATATGTATATATCGGAGCCGAGTTGCACAAAATGGAAACGTAAGTCCCGAAATTCACTCCATTTGGGCTGATACTAGCCATTAATTGCACAATAAACCTGAAATCGGTTTAAGGATATATATGGGAGCTATATCCAAATCATAGCCGTTCTTGATAAAAATTTGGCAAATGTATTTCCGAGCTCTATAAGATATCTGGTACCAAATATCATTGTTGTCGAATGCATACTACGAATGTGAGGGACTTAAATAATAAATCCTATGAAACATATATATGGGTGCTATAGCTATATCTGAACCGCTATAGCTATATCTGAAGCTTTAGCTATATCTGAACCGAGTTCCTTCTGAGTACTTTATCCCCTATGTGACGACGTGTTTTCACTTTGAAGCTGGGGTAGGTTCAGCGGGGGCCAGAGTCGTCACAAAAATTTATTTGTTAGGACATAAAGAGAGAGAGCGAAGCGAAAATATTTTCTTAAAACGTTATAAATTTATTTCCTTAAATAACACTAAACACTACACTAAACACAATAAAATCACGTTCAGAACTTTTTACGAAGAACACTAAATCACAAAGTTCAGTCGAAATGTTAATAAACGGGTAGCAGTGGTGGCAGCTTGGCACAGCGGCGGCCCGATGAATAGGCGAGCGACGAATAGAGTGGCGGCAGCTTGGCACAGCGGCGGCCCGATGAATAGGCGAGCGACGAATAGAGTGGCGGCAGCTTGGCACAGCGGCGGCCCGATGAATAGGCGAGCGACGAATAGGGTGGCGGCGGCTTTGGCACAGCGGCGGCCCGATGAATACGTCAGCGGCGAGTAGTAGTGGCGGCAGCTTGGCACAGCGGCGGCCCGATGAATAGGCGAGCGACGAATAGGGTGGCGGCGGCTGTGGCACAGCGGCGGCCCGATGAATACGTCAGCGGCGAGTAGTAGTGGCGGCAGCTTGGCACAGCGGCGGCCCGATGAATAGGCGAGCGACGAATAGGGTGGCGGCGGCTTTGGCACAGCGGCGGCCCGATGAATAGGCGAGCGGCGAATAGGGTGGCGGCGGCTTTGGCACAGCGGCGGCCCGATGAATACGTCAGCGGCGAGTAGTAGTGGCGGCAGCTTGGCACAGCGGCGGCCCGATGAATAGGCGAGCGACGAATAGGGTGGCGGCGGCTTTGGCACAGCGGCGGCCCGATGAATAGGCGAGCGGCGAATAGGGTGGCGGCGGCTTTGGCACAGCGGCGGCCCGATGAATACGTCAGCGGCGAGTAGTAGTGGTGGCAGCTTGGCACAGCGGCGGCCCGATGAATACGCGCACGACGAATCGGGTGGCGGCAGCTTTGGCACAGCGGCGGCCCGATGAATAGGCGAGCGGCGAATAGGGTGGCGGCGGCTTTGGCACAGCGGCAGCCCGATGAGTACGTCAGTCGCCGTCAACGCAGCCCGAAGAATAGGGAGTATTGCTACAACCCTCACTTGACCCTGCGTTCAGTCGCCGTCAACGCAGCCCGAAGAATAGGGAGTATTGCTACAACCCTCACTTGACCCTGCGTTCAGTCGCCGTCAACGCAGCCCGAAGAATAGGGAGTATTGCTACAGCCCTCACTTGACCCTGCGTTCAGTCGCCGTCAACGCAGCCCGAAGAATAGGGAGTATTGCTACAACCCTCACTTGACCCTGCGTTCAGTCGCCGTCAACGCAGCCCGAAGAATAGGGAGTATTGCTACAACCCTCACTTGACCCTGCGTTCAGTCGCCGTCAACGCAGCCCGAAGAATAGGGAGTATTGCTACAACCCTCACTTGACCCTGCGTTCAGTCGCCGTCAACGCAGCCCGAAGAATAGGGAGTATTGCTACAACCCTCACTTGACCCTGCGTTCAGTCGCCGTCAACGCAGCCCGAAGAATAGGGAGTATTGCTACAACCCTCACTTGACCCTGCGTTCAGTCCAGTCCAGTCACCACAAATAGTCAAGGCTTATTGTTTGGCTTACTAAGACTCAATTCAACCGAGGTTGCGCGCCTTTTCTTCCTCCCAATCACACTTGACTTACCAGCCATCAACAGAAGACTGATCCCGATTGGGTGAAATGCGTCTCCTTTTATACCTTTTTGGCTGGACAACGATTGTTGTTTTCTCATGACAGCAGCTGATCCCAATCTGACAGTTTTGCGTAGTTCCGCCATTTGCCACCAGGGGTTCCAATGTTGTATTTTAAGTATACTTCTTTCTACTAGGGGACAATAATAATGTACCCCAAAAACGAAAGCATGACTTTTGGGCGTTACATGGCATCTCTTCCTCCCTCTGATTTTTGATTCCTTGATTTGCTTTCTCTATTGCTATTGGGTTTCAATAGCCAGGAAGCCCTAGGGTGTTATGTAACCTTTTATTTCTCCGACATGGGCACTTTGGTTCGACTATATCTCGGTCGAATAGGAAGGTATGTTAGAGACCAATTGCAGAAGTTCGGAGAGATACCTTCACTACCCCGTCTGCTGATATTATTATGCGGTACTGCTTGCCATCTTGTTTAACAATTCGCTTCAGTTTGTGTCCCTTTTTCCAATTGTTTTTAAACTTCTCGATACGGCTTTGTAGGTTTTCGGGATAATTTGGCAGTTCGAGAAATGTGTTATTGTTCACGGGATTGTCTGTCGAGGACGATGGCGTTGACTCAGTTGGGATTTCAGTGACTGGCAATTTGATTGTACTTGGTGTGCTATTATTCTCCTTACTGGGTATAAACACTTCATCGATGGAAGGTTGACTGCTACACACTGTTGGCTGATGAGGTGTCATCGTTTGGCTTGTGGATGATGATGAAGACGACGAGGCTGATGAGGATGAGGATGACGATAAAGACGACGAGGCTGATGACAGTTCGACAACGTGTCCCGGCGTTCCTGGTAATGATTTATCTTCCTTCACGTTGGGGGACCTGTGATCGTCCGATATGACGGCAGCATTGGATTGCGATGGAATTTGTACGTCATCACTATGCAACAGATTTGCTTGTTCGGTTATGTTATATAGCGGTGATGATGGAGGAACACCAACCAGCGTCTGCCATTGGGTCCACCACTCCAAACTAGGATCTTCGGACACTGTCACAAAACTACTTGCGGTCGATCTGGAGTCTTCTTCTAAATGTGCGAAAGCATGTGAGGATGAAATAGGAACCTCCTTCGCCCGTTTGAATTTTTTCGTGTTGGGGCTATCTTGCTCCATCGTGATGTTGAAATTTTGAGAATTGCGATGGTCTTTGAAGTATGGGCTTATATTAGGACACTGATTAGTTTGGGTATTGTCAATTTAATGTCTCTTTTGATGGGGTTTCCTCTCCTATAGCCACGGTACAATGCTCCGTTGATGTGGTTGGCTTACTTAATTTGACACTTATACCGGCGCAGTGAATGGTCGTGTGGAACTGTTTTAGAAATTCCAATCCCAATATGATGTTTTCCTTGAATTGCGGCATGATGAGAAATGTAACATCTGAGCTTTGGTTTCCAAATGTAACAGGTAACACTGTTGATCTTGTGATGTTCACCGTGGTGCCGTCTGCGAGGATAACATTTGCCTCATGCCGTGAATAAGTAAACCTTTTCTTGATTTTTTTCGCAAATTCTCTTTTTATAAAACAGCTAGTGGCACCAGTGTCGACAGTTGCTTTAATAGCTTTCCCCTCTATTAAGACAGTTGCAGTAAGGCGATATTCTTCACATTGCAATGATGTAATATTCTGGTTACTCTTCTTTGCCGGGGGTTCATCCTGCTGCGTTTCTGGATTGGATGAGCTTTCGTTTAGCACTTGGTCACCTTGATTGGTGCAATACAGGTTATTTCTAGAGTTGTCCGCACGTCGATTATAGTTTTGTTGATTTCGAGGCTGTTCTGACCGAGAATTATTTGGTATGCTTTCGAGTTCGTCTGCCAAGGAGATCAATTCCGAAAGTGTGGTAAAGTCTTTACGGCGAATGTACCATTGATAATCCGGATGCGCGTTTCTAAAAATTCGTTCCAATTTTTGTTCTTCGGTCATATTGGTGTGCTGCATAAGATGCTGTATAGAGAGTACATATTCCTTAAACGGCTCCTTATTACGCTGTATCCTTCTCCTAATTTCATCCTCCAATTTCTCAAAGTATCTCGGTGGCAAAAAGAATTTCAGAAAATCACTCTTAAATTCGTTCCAGGTAGTCCAGTGTCGGTTGTTGTTCCTTAGCCAGATTAAAGCTTTACCTCGTAACAACTCTGGCATTACTTTAATTATTTGATTCAATTCCACGATGTACATTTCAGCCATTTCCTCTACACGTTCTACGAATCCAATAGGGTCCATTCCATTTTCAACAGTAATATTCCATTTTCGGATTTGGTCGAGAATTACGAGTAACGACGAATTATTGGATGGCTTGGGCGGAGAATCTTTTTGAAATCCATATTCGGGGTTTGTTGGCGACATCTTCTGTACTTTTTGATCGTTTGTTACCCCTGTGCTTGACTCTCCATGTGACCTTTCCGCGGAAATGTGGGGAAGGGCGTACTCTGTTTTTATTGGGGATAATACTATTGCTTCTGCTCCACACGGTGTTACGGTTATAAGGGGTTGTTTTGTGACGGCTCGCAATGTCGGCGATTTGGTCGGACTGGTACTTTCATGTTTGTTCTGCAACTCTATAAGCCGTCTGTATACATCGGCTTCATGGTCGTTGTGGAGAAATTTAGCCCATCTTTTTCGGAGATCGTCCACTTTTCCAACTGGATCAAGATTGAATTCAGTAAGATATGTTACCAAGTCTTCTTGCTTTAGCATATAGGCCCAGGAGACCTTCAACATTGTCTTTTCGTTTGACATTTTTTTTTTTTTTTTTTTTTTTTTTTTTAACTGTTTTTTTTTTCACTGGGTTTTCATCTGTATTTGTCTAATTATTGTTCACTCATTTATTTATTCTTTCTCTCTTTTATAGTCCCTGCTCGGGCGCCATTGTGACGACGTGTTTTCACTTTGAAGCTGGGGTAGGTTCAGCGGGGGCCAGAGTCGTCACAAAAATTTATTTGTTAGGACATAAAGAGAGAGAGCGAAGCGAAAATATTTTCTTAAAACGTTATAAATTTATTTCCTTAAATAACACTAAACACTACACTAAACACAATAAAATCACGTTCAGAACTTTTTACGAAGAACACTAAATCACAAAGTTCAGTCGAAATGTTAATAAACGGGTAGCAGTGGTGGCAGCTTGGCACAGCGGCGGCCCGATGAATAGGCGAGCGACGAATAGAGTGGCGGCAGCTTGGCACAGCGGCGGCCCGATGAATAGGCGAGCGACGAATAGAGTGGCGGCAGCTTGGCACAGCGGCGGCCCGATGAATAGGCGAGCGACGAATAGGGTGGCGGCGGCTTTGGCACAGCGGCGGCCCGATGAATACGTCAGCGGCGAGTAGTAGTGGCGGCAGCTTGGCACAGCGGCGGCCCGATGAATAGGCGAGCGACGAATAGGGTGGCGGCGGCTGTGGCACAGCGGCGGCCCGATGAATACGTCAGCGGCGAGTAGTAGTGGCGGCAGCTTGGCACAGCGGCGGCCCGATGAATAGGCGAGCGACGAATAGGGTGGCGGCGGCTTTGGCACAGCGGCGGCCCGATGAATAGGCGAGCGGCGAATAGGGTGGCGGCGGCTTTGGCACAGCGGCGGCCCGATGAATACGTCAGCGGCGAGTAGTAGTGGCGGCAGCTTGGCACAGCGGCGGCCCGATGAATAGGCGAGCGACGAATAGGCGCCCTGCTCGGGCGCCATTGTGACGACGTGTTTTCACTTTGAAGCTGGGGTAGGTTCAGCGGGGGCCAGAGTCGTCACAAAAATTTATTTGTTAGGACATAAAGAGAGAGAGAGAGCGAAGCAAAAATATTTTCTTAAAACGTTATAAATTTATTTCCTTAAATAACACTAAACACTACACTAAACACAATAAAATCACGTTCAGAACTTTTTACGAAGAACACTAAATCACAAAGTTCAGTCGAAATGTTAATAAACGGGTAGCAGTGGTGGCAGCTTGGCACAGCGGCGGCCCGATGAATAGGCGAGCGACGAATAGAGTGGCGGCAGCTTGGCACAGCGGCGGCCCGATGAATAGGCGAGCGACGAATAGGGTGGCGGCGGCTTTGGCACAGCGGCGGCCCGATGAATACGTCAGCGGCGAGTAGTAGTGGCGGCAGCTTGGCACAGCGGCGGCCCGATGAATAGGCGAGCGACGAATAGGGTGGCGGCGGCTGTGGCACAGCGGCGGCCCGATGAATACGTCAGCGGCGAGTAGTAGTGGCGGCAGCTTGGCACAGCGGCGGCCCGATGAATAGGCGAGCGACGAATAGGGTGGCGGCGGCTTTGGCACAGCGGCGGCCCGATGAATAGGCGAGCGGCGAATAGGGTGGCGGCGGCTTTGGCACAGCGGCGGCCCGATGAATACGTCAGCGGCGAGTAGTAGTGGCGGCAGCTTGGCACAGCGGCGGCCCGATGAATACGCGCACGACGAATCGGGTGGCGGCAGCTTTGGCACAGCAGCAGCCCGATGAGTACGTCAGTCGCCGTCAACGCAGCCCGAAGAATAGGGAGTATTGCTACAACCCTCACTTGACCCTGCGTTCAGTCGCCGTCAACGCAGCCCGAAGAATAGGGAGTATTGCTACAACCCTCACTTGACCCTGCGTTCAGTCGCCGTCAACGCAGCCCGAAGAATAGGGAGTATTGCTACAGCCCTCACTTGACCCTGCGTTCAGTCGCCGTCAACGCAGCCCGAAGAATAGGGAGTATTGCTACAACCCTCACTTGACCCTGCGTTCAGTCGCCGTCAACGCAGCCCGAAGAATAGGGAGTATTGCTACAACCCTCACTTGACCCTGCGTTCAGTCGCCGTCAACGCAGCCCGAAGAATAGGGAGTATTGCTACAGCCCTCACTTGACCCTGCGTTCAGTCGCCGTCAACGCAGCCCGAAGAATAGGGAGTATTGCTACAACCCTCACTTGACCCTGCGTTCAGTCGCCGTCAACGCAGCCCGAAGAATAGGGAGTATTGCTACAACCCTCACTTGACCCTGCGTTCAGTCCAGTCCAGTCACCACAAATAGTCAAGGCTTATTGTTTGGCTTACTAAGACTCAATTCAACCGAGGTTGCGCGCCTTTTCTTCCTCCCAATCACACTTGACTTACCAGCCGTGTTTTCACTTTGAAGCTGGGGTAGGTTCAGCGGGGGCCAGAGTCGTCACAAAAATTTATTTGTTAGGACATAAAGAGAGAGAGAGCGAAGCAAAAATATTTTCTTAAAACGTTATAAATTTATTTCCTTAAATAACACTAAACACTACACTAAACACAATAAAATCACGTTCAGAACTTTTTACGAAGAACACTAAATCACAAAGTTCAGTCGAAATGTTAATAAACGGGTAGCAGTGGTGGCAGCTTGGCACAGCGGCGGCCCGATGAATAGGCGAGCGACGAATAGAGTGGCGGCAGCTTGGCACAGCGGCGGCCCGATGAATAGGCGAGCGACGAATAGGGTGGCGGCGGCTTTGGCACAGCGGCGGCCCGATGAATACGTCAGCGGCGAGTAGTAGTGGCGGCAGCTTGGCACAGCGGCGGCCCGATGAATAGGCGAGCGACGAATAGAGTGGCGGCAGCTTGGCACAGCGGCGGCCCGATGAATAGGCGAGCGACGAATAGGGTGGCGGCGGCTTTGGCACAGCGGCGGCCCGATGAATACGTCAGCGGCGAGTAGTAGTGGCGGCAGCTTGGCACAGCGGCGGCCCGATGAATAGGCGAGCGACGAATAGGGTGGCGGCGGCTGTGGCACAGCGGCGGCCCGATGAATACGTCAGCGGCGAGTAGTAGTGGCGGCAGCTTGGCACAGCGGCGGCCCGATGAATAGGCGAGCGACGAATAGGGTGGCGGCGGCTTTGGCACAGTGGCGGCCCGATGAATACGTCAGCGGCGAGTAGTAGTGGCGGCAGCTTGGCACAGCGGCGGCCCGATGAATAGGCGAGCGACGAATAGGGTGGCGGCGGCTTTGGCACAGCGGCGGCCCGATGAATACGTCAGCGGCGAGTAGTAGTGGCGGCAGCTTGGCACAGCGGCCTATTCGACCGAGATATAGTCGAACCAAAGTGCCCATGTCGGAGAAATAAAAGGTTACATAACACCCTAGGGCTTTCTCTATTGCTATTGGGTTTCAATAGCCAGGAAGCCCTAGGGTGTTATGTAACCTTTTATTTCTCCGACATGGGCACTTTGGTTCGACTATATCTCGGTCGAATAGGAAGGTATGTTAGAGACCAATTGCAGAAGTTCGGAGAGATACCTTCACTACCCCGTCTGCTGATATTATTATGCGGTACTGCTTGCCATCTTGTTTAACAATTCGCTTCAGTTTGTGTCCCTTTTTCCAATTGTTTTTAAACTTCTCGATACGGCTTTGTAGGTTTTCGGGATAATTTGGCAGTTCGAGAAATGTGTTATTGTTCACGGGATTGTCTGTCGAGGACGATGGCGTTGACTCAGTTGGGATTTCAGTGACTGGCAATTTGATTGTACTTGGTGTGCTATTATTCTCCTTACTGGGTATAAACACTTCATCGATGGAAGGTTGACTGCTACACACTGTTGGCTGATGAGGTGTCATCGTTTGGCTTGTGGATGATGATGAAGACGACGAGGCTGATGAGGATGAGGATGACGATAAAGACGACGAGGCTGATGACAGTTCGACAACGTGTCCCGGCGTTCCTGGTAATGATTTATCTTCCTTCACGTTGGGGGACCTGTGATCGTCCGATATGACGGCAGCATTGGATTGCGATGGAATTTGTACGTCATCACTATGCAACAGATTTGCTTGTTCGGTTATGTTATATAGCGGTGATGATGGAGGAACACCAACCAGCGTCTGCCATTGGGTCCACCACTCCAAACTAGGATCTTCGGACACTGTCACAAAACTACTTGCGGTCGATCTGGAGTCTTCTTCTAAATGTGCGAAAGCATGTGAGGATGAAATAGGAACCTCCTTCGCCCGTTTGAATTTTTTCGTGTTGGGGCTATCTTGCTCCATCGTGATGTTGAAATTTTGAGAATTGCGATGGTCTTTGAAGTATGGGCTTATATTAGGACACTGATTAGTTTGGGTATTGTCAATTTAATGTCTCTTTTGATGGGGTTTCCTCTCCTATAGCCACGGTACAATGCTCCGTTGATGTGGTTGGCTTACTTAATTTGACACTTATACCGGCGCAGTGAATGGTCGTGTGGAACTGTTTTAGAAATTCCAATCCCAATATGATGTTTTCCTTGAATTGCGGCATGATGAGAAATGTAACATCTGAGCTTTGGTTTCCAAATGTAACAGGTAACACTGTTGATCTTGTGATGTTCACCGTGGTGCCGTCTGCGAGGATAACATTTGCCTCATGCCGTGAATAAGTAAACCTTTTCTTGATTTTTTTCGCAAATTCTCTTTTTATAAAACAGCTAGTGGCACCAGTGTCGACAGTTGCTTTAATAGCTTTCCCCTCTATTAAGACAGTTGCAGTAAGGCGATATTCTTCACATTGCAATGATGTAATATTCTGGTTACTCTTCTTTGCCGGGGGTTCATCCTGCTGCGTTTCTGGATTGGATGAGCTTTCGTTTAGCACTTGGTCACCTTGATTGGTGCAATACAGGTTATTTCTAGAGTTGTCCGCACGTCGATTATAGTTTTGTTGATTTCGAGGCTGTTCTGACCGAGAATTATTTGGTATGCTTTCGAGTTCGTCTGCCAAGGAGATCAATTCCGAAAGTGTGGTAAAGTCTTTACGGCGAATGTACCATTGATAATCCGGATGCGCGTTTCTAAAAATTCGTTCCAATTTTTGTTCTTCGGTCATATTGGTGTGCTGCATAAGATGCTGTATAGAGAGTACATATTCCTTAAACGGCTCCTTATTACGCTGTATCCTTCTCCTAATTTCATCCTCCAATTTCTCAAAGTATCTCGGTGGCAAAAAGAATTTCAGAAAATCACTCTTAAATTCGTTCCAGGTAGTCCAGTGTCGGTTGTTGTTCCTTAGCCAGATTAAAGCTTTACCTCGTAACAACTCTGGCATTACTTTAATTATTTGATTCAATTCCACGATGTACATTTCAGCCATTTCCTCTACACGTTCTACGAATCCAATAGGGTCCATTCCATTTTCAACAGTAATATTCCATTTTCGGATTTGGTCGAGAATTACGAGTAACGACGAATTATTGGATGGCTTGGGCGGAGAATCTTTTTGAAATCCATATTCGGGGTTTGTTGGCGACATCTTCTGTACTTTTTGATCGTTTGTTACCCCTGTGCTTGACTCTCCATGTGACCTTTCCGCGGAAATGTGGGGAAGGGCGTACTCTGTTTTTATTGGGGATAATACTATTGCTTCTGCTCCACACGGTGTTACGGTTATAAGGGGTTGTTTTGTGACGGCTCGCAATGTCGGCGATTTGGTCGGACTGGTACTTTCATGTTTGTTCTGCAACTCTATAAGCCGTCTGTATACATCGGCTTCATGGTCGTTGTGGAGAAATTTAGCCCATCTTTTTCGGAGATCGTCCACTTTTCCAACTGGATCAAGATTGAATTCAGTAAGATATGTTACCAAGTCTTCTTGCTTTAGCATATAGGCCCAGGAGACCTTCAACATTGTCTTTTCGTTTGACATTTTTTTTTTTTTTTTTTTTTTTTTTTTTAACTGTTTTTTTTTTCACTGGGTTTTCATCTGTATTTGTCTAATTATTGTTCACTCATTTATTTATTCTTTCTCTCTTTTATAGTCCCTGCTCGGGCGCCATTGTGACGACGTGTTTTCACTTTGAAGCTGGGGTAGGTTCAGCGGGGGCCAGAGTCGTCACAAAAATTTATTTGTTAGGACATAAAGAGAGAGAGCGAAGCGAAAATATTTTCTTAAAACGTTATAAATTTATTTCCTTAAATAACACTAAACACTACACTAAACACAATAAAATCACGTTCAGAACTTTTTACGAAGAACACTAAATCACAAAGTTCAGTCGAAATGTTAATAAACGGGTAGCAGTGGTGGCAGCTTGGCACAGCGGCGGCCCGATGAATAGGCGAGCGACGAATAGAGTGGCGGCAGCTTGGCACAGCGGCGGCCCGATGAATAGGCGAGCGACGAATAGAGTGGCGGCAGCTTGGCACAGCGGCGGCCCGATGAATAGGCGAGCGACGAATAGGGTGGCGGCGGCTTTGGCACAGCGGCGGCCCGATGAATACGTCAGCGGCGAGTAGTAGTGGCGGCAGCTTGGCACAGCGGCGGCCCGATGAATAGGCGAGCGACGAATAGGGTGGCGGCGGCTGTGGCACAGCGGCGGCCCGATGAATACGTCAGCGGCGAGTAGTAGTGGCGGCAGCTTGGCACAGCGGCGGCCCGATGAATAGGCGAGCGACGAATAGGGTGGCGGCGGCTTTGGCACAGCGGCGGCCCGATGAATAGGCGAGCGGCGAATAGGGTGGCGGCGGCTTTGGCACAGCGGCGGCCCGATGAATACGTCAGCGGCGAGTAGTAGTGGCGGCAGCTTGGCACAGCGGCGGCCCGATGAATAGGCGAGCGACGAATAGGGTGGCGGCGGCTTTGGCACAGCGGCGGCCCGATGAATAGGCGAGCGGCGAATAGGGTGGCGGCGGCTTTGGCACAGCGGCGGCCCGATGAATACGTCAGCGGCGAGTAGTAGTGGTGGCAGCTTGGCACAGCGGCGGCCCGATGAATACGCGCACGACGAATCGGGTGGCGGCAGCTTTGGCACAGCGGCGGCCCGATGAATAGGCGAGCGGCGAATAGGGTGGCGGCGGCTTTGGCACAGCGGCAGCCCGATGAGTACGTCAGTCGCCGTCAACGCAGCCCGAAGAATAGGGAGTATTGCTACAACCCTCACTTGACCCTGCGTTCAGTCGCCGTCAACGCAGCCCGAAGAATAGGGAGTATTGCTACAACCCTCACTTGACCCTGCGTTCAGTCGCCGTCAACGCAGCCCGAAGAATAGGGAGTATTGCTACAGCCCTCACTTGACCCTGCGTTCAGTCGCCGTCAACGCAGCCCGAAGAATAGGGAGTATTGCTACAACCCTCACTTGACCCTGCGTTCAGTCGCCGTCAACGCAGCCCGAAGAATAGGGAGTATTGCTACAACCCTCACTTGACCCTGCGTTCAGTCGCCGTCAACGCAGCCCGAAGAATAGGGAGTATTGCTACAACCCTCACTTGACCCTGCGTTCAGTCGCCGTCAACGCAGCCCGAAGAATAGGGAGTATTGCTACAACCCTCACTTGACCCTGCGTTCAGTCGCCGTCAACGCAGCCCGAAGAATAGGGAGTATTGCTACAACCCTCACTTGACCCTGCGTTCAGTCCAGTCCAGTCACCACAAATAGTCAAGGCTTATTGTTTGGCTTACTAAGACTCAATTCAACCGAGGTTGCGCGCCTTTTCTTCCTCCCAATCACACTTGACTTACCAGCCATCAACAGAAGACTGATCCCGATTGGGTGAAATGCGTCTCCTTTTATACCTTTTTGGCTGGACAACGATTGTTGTTTTCTCATGACAGCAGCTGATCCCAATCTGACAGTTTTGCGTAGTTCCGCCATTTGCCACCAGGGGTTCCAATGTTGTATTTTAAGTATACTTCTTTCTACTAGGGGACAATAATAATGTACCCCAAAAACGAAAGCATGACTTTTGGGCGTTACACCTAAAAGAGAATTATCTAAATAGTTCCACGTTTTAGTATAGCGCCCATATAAGGGTACCCCCAGATATTCGGCATTTTCATGATTGTTTCATATTTCGTATATAAAGTTCGAAACAGTTACTACAGCCTATGGTACAAATTACTTATACAGGACCACATCTACGTAAAACCCCCATATAACGGTTTTCATTTGACCGACCGAACTTAGTTGTTTTTTTACTTGTTTGTATAAAAACGTTACTTGTGGGCATGATACAATGGAGACAAGGTAGGCTAACTTTGAAAAAATTGCAAGTATAGAGACATACCTGTTTGCTTGTAATGTCAGAATTACTATCAAAAAAATAAAGTCTCTCATCTTGTTCTAAACTCTAAGCCCATGCAAAATACCGCGACAATTTATCTGCAGAGAGACTGTCAAATTTAAAAAAAATCTGTTGTATGTCTATTTCAATCCTTAAAGGCTTCTATCTGACCCTGACTCAACGTAAATTTTGGGAGGTTTGGGCTCCTCTGACCCACACAGATACCTAGGCTTGGAGGTAGAGTCGAGATTACGTTGCATACTAACTGTGGAACAGATATCTTCATTATTTTGGCAAATAGGATTTTAGGTAAATCGAAAAATGAACGTAAAATTGGGCGTTGTCACTTTTTCATTGCATAAAAAGCAAACTCTTGGTAGGACGAACATTAAAAACATATTCCAATCGTTCCAGCCGTTCTCAACTGATTCTATTACCAACGAACAACAATTGGCTATTATAATAATTGGATAATAATTTTCAAACCGATATCTTCAATTTTTTTCTTTAAAAACTGATTCCATTAAAAACGAATAACAATAAATTTTTATATATATAGATTTAAAATACGTATTATGGACGAAATGTACATTTTTGCGAAAAAAAAACTTTAGAGATAAATAAAACATGATTTTGAAAAGAAAAAATTTCATTACTTTTTTTTTTTTTTTTTTTTTTTTTTTTTTTTTTTCATTTATTCAAAATTAATGCAACAGGTTGTTCTGTTTGTTTGACAACTTGTTGCATTTGTTGATAGTAACTCTGACATTACAATACAGGTGGGTCTCCCTACTTGCATTTTTTCCAATTTAGCCTACCTTCTCTTCATTGTACCGTGGTTATATGGTGGCTATAATCATGGTACAATGAAGAGAAGGTAGGGCAACTTTGAAAAAATTGCAAGTATAAAGGTCTACCTGTTTGGCTTGTAATGTCAGAATTAGTATAAAAACAATAAAAAAATCAAACAACTTGTTGCATTTATTTTGAAAAAATAATTGAAAACATCGATAACTGAATGAAAGGTAAACACTTCTTTTCAAAACCAGGTTCTATATATCTCTAAAGGATTATTTCGCTACAAAAACTCTAGATTTTGTCGATGGATACGATGAAATAAACATTTTGAAAACATCCGAATTTGAATGTTTTCTGAACAATGTTTATACCCTACAACACTATGTGTTGGGGGTATTTTAAGTTTGATTGGGCCAGAATTTATGTAACACTTCGAAATATTGGTTTCCCAGGATCTTCCTAGCTCGCCGAGCTGAGTCGATCTAGCTATGTATGTCCGTCCGTCCGTCTGTCCGTCCGTCCATGTTAATTTGTAATCACGCTACAGGTCGCAATTATGGCCCAATCCTAATGAAATTTTGCACGAAGGTGGGGTTAGGGTCAGAACAGAAGCCTATTTCTTTTGGAGATGATCGCCAAATGTTTAGTGAAATGGACCAAATACTGAAAAATGTCGGATTTTGCAGTAGCTATACAGATCGCAATTATAGACCAATCGACGCGGAATTTCGCATGTAGCTAGGGCGGGGAAGAAGCTAACCAATTTGGGTGGTCATCGGATAATATTTAGCGGGTAAAATAGACCATATCTTTTTTGTTGAAAAAATTCAAAATTTTTCATTAAACCGCGAATATTTTAAATCCCGGCGAAATCACAAAGCCATGACAAGGTTACTTCTGATCTTTACATTGATGTTAAGATCCAACAAATCGGATATATAGCAAAATATGTGCGATATATATGTCTATCAAAGAAGATATGCTTGAAAGATCTCTTATATGTCGAGAACGGCTGAACTGATTTCGACAGTTCTCATTAATTCAGAATGGCCTCTTGGCAGGAAAGAAAAAAACGTCTAAAAAATCGCATAAAAATATCTCTCTAAAGATGAAAATATTGATTTTGTAACATTTTCTCATATTTTTTCAATTTTGTCATATTTTCATTTTGAATTAAACATTTGGTAATATTTCTACAGCTAACAAAACTAAGTAGTTAGGATATCCGGATATCATATACAGATCGCATTTATGGCCCGATCCTTACGAAATTTTGCATGGGGATAAGATGAGGGTCAGAATAGAAGCCTACTCTTTTCGCCATATATTTAGGGGTTGAAATGGACCAAAAAACTGCAAAATTGTCAGCAGGTCGTAATTATAGCCCGATCCTCACGCACATTTGAATGGGGGTTACCGGACATTGCAAAAGCCAAGCAGTTTTGGATGGCCATCCAAAAATATTCAATCTGCGAAATAGTTTGCCAACTTTTGTAGACTAAATACGAAAATGTCCATTCCAGTGACTCTTTGGAGAATCACAAATACAGGAAAGACGCATTTCTGACTATTTCGTTAACGCTGATTTCGTTGAAGAATATAGTCAAATATCTGTATCTCATATAGATGCGTTTCAGTCAAAAACCAATAATCTTTTGCCACTTCTGAGAGATTATGGGTCTTTGGGATATATTGGTTCCAGATCTAGGAAGACCATTTACGTGCAACATCTACAAATAAATTGGAAATGAGCAAATTAGTTTAAGTTGCTATTATTCGAAAATTAGAGAACGAAACCTGATGTTTTTCTTTTATTATTTGTCACAATATCTTGTGGAATTCTTTCGAGTATCTCGCCTATATAAACTGTATCGTTTACTTTAGTGTTGTAGGGTATTCAGCGGTCGGCCCCGCTCGACTGTAGCCTTTGCTTACTTGTTTTGTTATAGAAAAGAAAACAAATACATAAACAAATAAAGATGACATATTAAGCCAAGAAAATAAAAAAATAGAAATCATATGGTATCATAGCCCTACCTTGATATCATTGTACCATGGCTATAATAAGATCTGCATACGAAATTTTCATAGGTTGTAATACCCATTACAAACTTTAATTACACATTTGAAACAATTCCGGTAAAAAATGTCGCAAAAATCATCAAAATACCGAATATTGACAGGTGCCGTTATATGGGGACTATAGGAAAAAGTAGACAGACATTTACTACTGACAAAATATACATTTATGCAAAATTTTAGTCCTCTATCTCTGTTCGTTCAAAAGATAGCGTGATTTAAACTGACAAACAGACATTGCTGAATCGACTGAGAATTACGCTGATCTAGAATATGTATATACTTTCTTGAGTTTGACATGAATATTTCCACCATAGTATGGTGGAGGATATAAAATGGACAGACATACACAAATAGATAAACGACTTAGATCAGCGAGA